GCATACTGTACCCAGATGTCAAAGTAATGATCTAGAACATCGTTGGGTGGAAGTGTCTGTAGTTTGAGTCAATATTTTTGTACTTTACAATGTTCTCTTGGATTTTACTCCTACAGCTAATGTACTGTATGTGTGCTAATCTTATTAGCCATGAGCTACAATGTGATGCTATATCATATACTATTTTGCCATCCTGCCAACTTTTATGTTAGTTTAAGGAGTTCATTCAGTTAATGGGAAACAAATGTGCTGCTCATCGGTTCGGTGGCGACTGTTTCTATTGTAATTCTGTTTCCACAAAATTCCATTCAATTTACGACACAAGCGATTATGAGAATATAATGGTGATGAAATCAGGGATGCTGATGTGTCTTGCATTTGCAGAGGGAAAGTCAAACTCTGCAGGCTCTTGAACCAGCTGGACAGCAGATGATAAGTAGAGTTTATAAGGATCATAACTAAATAACTTTATATTAAAGATTCGTATCTCAAATTTGACCAATCTCTGTAATAAATACTCTGTGTGAAGTAGGCTTGGCTGTCTTATCCTTTCCTCCTGCAGAATCCTACCCTCCTTACTTCAAAGAGATTTTTTATGGGTACTCTATTTAGTGCTTGATAAGTAATTGTATTGTATAAAAGTATGTATTTCTTTATCCTTGTAACAAAAAAAAAAGTTAAAATAACTTATAGAGCTAACTGGTCAAAGCTCTCCTGATTAGCTAGAAAAAGATTTCACAATAACACATTACATTTTTGATCAGGCATTGAGGAAGGGGGATAGGGTTCTCAAATGTGATTGGTCAAGCAACTTTCTTTTGTTGTTGGTATTTAGTAAGGGGAAGTTGCACTGTATCACTCCGCTTGTTCATATTTTCTGTCTCTGTTCCAGACCACACCAGAAATTCCTATCACTTTGCTACACACATAAATACTGTTCCAGGCTGAAACGTTTGCTTCTCTTTTATTTCTCTCATGCTCACTCTCAAAGCTGCCTTTATTTTAACAACAATACAGTAAAAACAGTAACATTGTGAAATATTATTACAATTTAAAATAACTCGGCAGTCATTGCTTCAGTCCTCGGTGTCACATGAACCTTCAGAAATCATTTGAATATGCTCATTTGGAGCTTATGAACTTTTATTATTATTATCGATGCTGAAAACAGTTGTGCTACTTAATATTTTTTGGAAACTCTGATACATTTTTTTCTTCAGGATTCTTCAAATTAAAGTTAAAAAAGGCAGCATTTACTTGAAATAGAAATTTTTGTAACTTTGTTAGTAAGTCTTTATTGTCACCTTTGATCAATTGAATGTGCCCTTTCTTTAAAAAACAAAACAAAAAATCTTACTGACCACAAACTTTTGAATGGCAATGTAAATGGCACACACATAATGCAGGAATGAAGTGTGGATTACATTAAACAGCGCCAAAGTATTTTACTCATTTATATTTAAGGAGAAAAGAAACCTAAGACCTGGTTAAGCTTGGTTGTTTGTACTTTCTGCTGCCTGTGGTTAGATGGTTTCGAGCTGGATACCATGACCTGGATCTGAGCTGTGGAAAGGCATTTCAAGACCCACGCTGTCTGATGTGATTCAGGATGATGGACATTTAATGAGTTAAGATGAAACACTATGCCCTGGAGATGTGGACAGACGAGCAGTCAAGACAGACTGTTTCAACATATCTGCATCTCTCTTGGCAGGTCAAGATAACAGGTCCTAGGAAGAGTAGATTGTTTTTGCAAAATTTCATTTTTAGTCTCACATATGTCTTACATAATGGTGCCCTGCAACATCATGAGTATGTACAGTGGGTACTCCATTATTCTGTCTGAGCAAAACCAGAATGTGTTTTGAATGATGTCTTGGGATGCCATACAGAAACATCAGTGACTTTCTGAGTATGTTTTTCCAGCAAATTAACATTTGACTTCCTGACAGGGCCATTGACCAATAGATGGCAGAAGATGGCAGTATGATGATAGATGGGTATGAGATGTGCTCCACTGATCACTGATGTAACCACACAGATCCAAGCAAATGACCAGACTCAGTTGCAAAGTACAGCCACTGAACTCCACAAACTCCTCAGAATTTCCTCAAGTTCTACATACTCCCTGATCATTGTATGTTTATTTAGCATTTTGGCTAATCTGATTATGCTTTAATCTAGCTGTAAGAGTGTAGTACAGCTTTGTTTAATGTTTCTCAATGTTTAAATCAATTGAGAAGAATTCAACTGATTTGCCCCAAAATTAGTGCAGAAATAAAAAAAAATATATCCTCAGATGCTATCTGAGCATGCAGATAACTGGCATTAAATTTAGCAGACACCTTTTTTTTCAAGCGGACACTGTGCAGTCAGCTTGAGTTTATCTTCTTGCTGTTATTCTGATTGTGTTATGGGAAACAGTAAATGGTGTGGCTGGACTGTGGTGAAACATCTGGATGGTGAAAGTCTGAAATGAGGTTACAGGCTTTTGTGTACTTAACGTACACTACTGTTCAAATGTTTGAGTTCAGTGAAACTTTTTAATGTTTTTTGTAAGAAGTCTCCTGGTCTCACAAAGGCTGCATTGATTAGATCAAAAATACAGTAAAAACAAATGTTGTGAAATATAAATATATTTTAAAACGCAATGTAATGGCAAAGCTTAATTTCCTGCAGCCATTAAGTGTCACATGATCCTTCAGAAATCATTCTAATATGCTGATTTAGGGCTCTAGAACATACATACATATTATTATTATTATTGGCGTTGAAAACAGTTATGCTTCTTAATATTTTTTTTTAAAGTGTGATACATTTTTTTCAAGATTCTGAATAAGAACAGCATTTATTTGAAATATTTTTTTTGTAACATTATACATTTCTTTACTGTTACGTTTGATCAATTTTGTGCATCCTTGCTGAATAAAAGTATTAATTTCTTTAAAAAAAATGAAGAAAAAAAAACTTGCTGACCCCAAACGTTTTGAACAGAAGTGTAATGAAGATGGGAGATTAGTGGATGGCTCACTTTGTGATAACTTACACCTAAGGCGTGACCTACAGTCAGACGTCATTATCGCAAAATGAACCCTGATGGGGTGATCAGATCATCCTGAACAGGTTTACATTTTGCAGTAATGACTGTCTGACTGCACAGTATCCTATTTATTACACAACTATTTGCCAAATAAATGGCAATAAATAAATAAATGGACATTTAAATTGAATATATTTTATTATGTGAAAGAAAGAGGCTGTGGAGTGCTGCTGTGAAGAACTATGGAAATCGGTTGATTGGCAACGATCAAATACAGTTTAGCAGTCATTATACATAAGCATTCGAATGAACAAATCAGAATGAATTGTTCCAGAGTGCCACATAATAAAAACAACTACCGTGGCATGGTGCACATTATTTTATAGCATTAAAAATAACCATATGTGGACTAAACCAGTAAAACATTTGCTTAACATTTGAACAAGCAACCAAGAGACTTGGTGGAAGCCCAAATACATTCTGCAGTTCCTGAAAAGTACGGGCCTATTTATTCTTTGGAGAAACATTTTTGAGAAACTGGCTGCTCATGGTCTTTCTGTCTGTTGGTATATTTCTAACTCCATTATGTCTCTTTGAAATAGATGTGGTTAAACTAAGCAGATGTTTTTGTGATGCTGAGCATAACATGCCTCAGGTTTTTACATGTTTGTCATACTTGTGATGACACAGATATGTCTTGATAATTAATCATATAATCATTAAGTGCCATTCTCTTTCATTATGTAAATGGAAAAACATTTCATTTCATTTACTACATCTCTACTGTATTCATCTGCACATTTGATCAATTGTTTGCTGAATTACTATCATCTCTTTGCACAGACACGTGAGATGGCTGAACCAAATCATTGAGATATTTGAACTAAACTGGGATCTCCGAACAGGCTGTTAGAAAACACTGAGCAAATGACCATACTGCCATTTCACATCTCCCCAGGAGTCTTGTGTGCTGTTATTTTACACTAGTTTAGCCTGGCTAGTCAAACCAAATGCTTCTTTTCTGGCGAGTGTGATTTATTTCTTGCAGTTTCCGCAAAACAATTTTGTTTTGAGACTTCAAGACCATTTTTTCTTCAAACTTGCGTCATCGTGATCTCACTGGATTTGTCAACAGTTACATGACTTGACTTGTGGTCTTATGATTATTGTGACAGAATAGTGCTTGATGATTTATTTCCTTTTTTCTTTCGTATTTATTTTGGATGACTCCAGTCAGGCTAAGTTTAGTACTCTAAGCCTAAGGGATTCGTTTGAAAGATTTTCAAACTTATTTGAAATCAAGAGGAGCACTGTAACAGAATAATATGATATACGCCATGGACTGATGCTACAGGGAAAGATGCTATAAGGAAATGGGACCATTTTATTTAATGATCTGTTCTGTGACATCTCCTTGGAAATTTCAGATTTGTACAAGAGTGAATCCATGAATGTGAACCTAACATCAGAAATGAAAGACCTGTAATGGCTTTAACCAGGATTGTGTGCCATTCAGAATTTAAGGAAGAATTGCTTTTAAACTCCAGTTCAATTCCTCAGTTTGAATTCAATTTGACTTCAGGTAGCAAACAGAATAAAATTGCAATTTGAATAAGTTTTAAGCTATAACATGTAAATTTCTCTAGATAATTTTTAAACTTTAGGTTTAAAAGCCATGAAGATTAGATAGATAGATAGATAGATAGATAGATAGATACCACCTATAAAAATGTATTTACTAAAAATATTATTTAGCTCATACATTTAGTTATATTTAATAAGTGAACTTTTGTGGTCTACGATGGAAATTCAGTTTATCTTCATGTTGGGTTTAGCTAATTCAATTAAAATTCACACTCATAAATGGAAAGGGGGCCAATATTTCACTTTTGATTTTTGCTTACTTATGATGGTACATGAACGTTCACATGGTACATCATTACTGCTTCCCTCTCTGTAGGAGCTGAGACCATCAAGAAATACTGGAGCCGATATTATCAAGGTTCCCAAGGTGTGGTGTTTGTCCTCAACAGTGCTGCGTCAGATGAAGAGATGGAGGCATCCAGGTCTGAGCTCCATTTGGCCATGCAGCATCCTCAGCTGTGCACCCTTCCATTCCTCATTCTCGCCAACCACCAGGATTCACCAACTGCCCGCTCTGTATCGGAGGTATGGTAACTTTCCACACCAAATATAGCTCTATGTTAAGGGCCGGCTGTCTTCTCTGTGATCTGCCGCTGTCGAGGGTTGCTGGCCTCTGTTTGTACACACTCTCTGAAGTGTTTGGACTGAGAGCTGGGTAGCGTGCGTTTTGGAGAGCGTCCTGTTGCCATGCAATAAGAACTGTTGTTTATGGTCAGCCTTGGAAGATGAGCGACCAGGACTGGGATAGGATGTTGTGGGGAGCTCCCCCTCCCTACTGCATCCCAGAACCAGAGCTGACGATGTAAACATGCTGTGACGTGGGCCGGCTGACTAATAGTCTCTTTCCACATGCTGAGAAAACCTGGTAGAGGTTGTTCTTCTCAGGAGGAAGTATGACTGAGCTGCAGGAGGCACTTGAAGTTTTCCAAGTATGTATTAAATCTAGACAAGGACGAAAGTATGACAGTCTGGTGCTGTAGTTATGCATCTGAGACAGGAAAATATCAATCTACGTATGTACCATGTGTACAGAAGGTTACATATTTTGCAACTAAATGTGACATCAGTTTCAGGTGGTCTAGGATAGTAGGCTGAATTTTTGGATCAATAAATAATATTAATAGATAATAAATTATTAAATATTAAAATAAATAATAAATACATTTTTTAATTGTGTCAGCAGTGGTTATTTGAAACAAAATCCACTACAGTGACACATATTACATTTATGGATTAGTTTTTATTAATTTTGGTGATTAATTAAATAATAGAAGAAAATAAATTGTGGATGCTACCAGAGGTTATGATATTTTATTCTCCTAAATAAGTGCCCCTAAATCATATGGAAAAGAAAGAAAGAAAGAAAAAGAAACAAAATTAAAGAAAAATATATTTAAATGCTAAGGAAAGGCAAGGGATCGTCTTCTGCGCAGGACTCGCTGTTATCCAGCCCATTGTAAACAAGTGGGTGAAGATGGTATCAGGTTAGGAGTTCAAGCCTCTGATCAGATGTAGACCACAGATTGAAGCAAGTTAATCCCTCTGCTGTTGACTCCTCTTATCCGGTCTGACTGAAGGGATGACCTTCATCCCAGCACATTCCCATCATTTTTGTAAACCGATTGCATTTTGTGTGTTCTTTAAGGTGCAGACATTTTACATGAATCCTGCATTTACCGTTTGGTTCCTTCAACAGGAGCTGCTGTTTGTGATGCAGTTCACCAAATCAAATGGATGTCTGCTTCTGAATCTATAGATATATATATTAACTGTGGCTCACAATTGGAAAATTCAAGGCTGGAAAACAGATATTTATTTCGTCATTCCCACTGCATATACAAGTGTAGCACAGGGGGCCGCAAGGGGTTGCTATTGTGTCTGCGGTAAAGTTACATACAAATCAAAATTGTCACCAAATCTGACATTAATACAGTTTCAATATGCTTTCTAAAAACTGAAATCATGAGATTAATCAAAATTACTTTATTAAACTGACAACCATAATTTTATTTCAGATTTATACATTCAACTCTTTTAATGCTGGGTACACTTAATAGAAAGGTAATATTTTCCAGATAATATTATACACATATTTACAGTATTTACAGTATAAATGGGTGTTTATGTGAATAAAATATAGCCACATTCATATTTTAGTAATAGGGTCACTCACAAAGACATCAAATTCTGTGGCATCGAAATTAGCATTGATGCAAGCAGATTGTCGCTGCTGAGGTGTAGCACACTTAGCTACATTGAAAGTACAGTGTAAACTTATTTATCACTACAAAATAAGCCTTTATGAACGTAAAATGTAAAATGAAGTGATCTATTGATCCATTGATTAAAAAAGACACCCATGTAAGTCTTGATACAAATTCCACATGCAGAAACAGATCTAATCACCACTGATTATAGCTACCTTGGGTTTTGGGTGTAGATTAATGTGTAGTAACTCTCTCCTGATAACTGTTTATCATTTCTGGCTTTTGTCTGGGTCAAAACAGGTCTGCTGCAATTTTGCTTACAGTATATGCTGTTTATACATGCTCTGTGAAACTGGCCTAAGTAAAGGGAAGAGCATTTAGTCATTGTGGTTCCATGTGAAAGTGACACCTGCCTTCCTCCAGTGCGGTTGTGTTCGGTGTGGGATGTTTTGGCTAGCCACCTCCACTCTCTCCTTGTGTTTCACTGCTAGACTTTCTCGACCGAAGAGACATGCATTGTGGTTGTAGTGAGAACTCATTTGGTGATGAGAGAAGGAGCCTGCAAAGTATTTCAGACAAGTCTGTTGCCAACTCTTGACATGAGGAAATATGCTGGAGAGGTTTTCGAAAGTAGGTGTTGATGATGGAAATGAGTATCACACTATACTCGAGTGCGCATTGTTATATGATGGACATAAGGTAATTACAAGCATATCTGCGGGAATGCTTAGCATGCATTAGATTTTACAGACAACTACTATTTAAAAATAACAACCGATTTTCCCCATCGATTTGTATAGTCTATTAGCCTATAGGGTTGTGTGCCACCCGGTCAGCAGATATCCTGATATTGACCAACATCACGTGTGATGTACTGTGTGACTTAGGGCTGCACAATTAATCAAATTTCTAATCGCAATTACAATTATGGATGCCACAATTACGTACTCGTTCAAAGTCCACTTATGTTATTCTGCATGCTTAAGATATGTTTTTTTTCTTTCTACATGTTATCTTAAGGGTTTTTCCATTGTTTTAGTTTTAGTATAACATTATAATACCATTCGTGTTTTTATTTTTTCTATAATTTAAAGAAGAAACCAATTCGATGTATAGTTGACATTTGAGGCTTAATACTATAGAAAAGCACGAAACATTGTTCAGCTAGAGGGTTTTCAGCTTGTTTATTTTCATATAAAAATACGGCATGCAGTTGCATCAAACAATGGTATAAACATCATTCAATGTAAATTGTGATAATCGTAATTAATAATCGCAATTACAATTTCAAGGGAATAATCGACAATTATGATTTTTGTCATAATCGTGCTGCCCTAGACTGCATGCTAAAGAAAATCTTGTATGTGGTGTTGACCTCACTCAGTTGGCGGTCAACCGAAAGACCACACAGACCCCTCTTTTTGTTTAAGCTCATAAATGTGGTCAGTTCCATCTGATCAGCGTAAACCACATTACTGGGGAGTTTGCCATGTGTTGGTCTATTTTTAGAAGATGAAGTCACAGAGAGCGATTGACCTCTTTTAGCTGTTTGCAAACACTTCCAGAGCCACGTGAGTTTGGCTTAGAGAGGCAGTGAGCTCTGCCACAGGCCTTTTATTTAATCACAGTGTCATCTCTATTCTTGTAGTAGGCATACTGTGTGTCCTGTCACAGTGAGGGATCAAGTACCACACGTCGATCCTCACTTAACTCTGACTTACTTGCCAATCACATTGAATGGGATATGGCATGACTTAGTTTTCATCTGTCCCAGGTTTGAATTGTCACTTTTTTTTTCTCTTGTTTATTTATTTATTTTTTATTGCAGTTTTAAAATGAAGGAAAACAAAAGTTTGAAACACTGTAAATAAATAAATAAATAAATTTTAATTATTAATTTTAAGATTCAGAACAGAAGGTTTTTTTATTCTTATTTATTTATTTTTCTTACATTTTTTCTCTCTTTCTTCAGAGAGTCCAGGACCTGACCAGCACCCCTCAGTTTGAACACTATCTATACAGATGGTAAAGTCACCATACAAGTCAAACATACAAAACTAAAACAACTAATTTCAACTTTCATGCTGTGTATGTATGTATGTGTGTGTGTGTGTTTGTGTGTGTGTGTGTGTGTGTGGTTGACCCATAAAAGCAGAGAGGTGGAATAGTAGAGCAGGATATCCGAGACAGATTTGATCCCTGAGAGGGGCACTGGCATTTGTAGTCTCATTTCTTACTTCCTTTTTCCTCACCTCTTTTTTCCCCGCACACTCCTTTCATTTAGATGATTGTGCGTTTAAATGTTTTATTTTGTATGTTGTTCCACATATTTTTGAGGCAGAAGCTCTTCATATTCTCTTGGAGTTTTTGAAATGCTTACACTTAAACTCCATAATAAAAAGCTGTAGACAGTTGAATCTTCGTTCAAACAAGCCTTTCAAACATTACATGCCATCATGAATATTCCAGATGTCTTGTAGAGGAGCTTTTGTGCAGGACTTGCATGCTTAATTTTAAATGAAAGATACTAAATGTCTCTCAGTTCATTTACAAACAGAACAGAGAACATGGTTAGATGAAGGTGGGCAAGCTAAGAACGTGCCTCTTTGTGGATGAATTAAACTTTATAATTACTCTGTTATGCACCATGCCATTGGATTGCATTTATAATCAAATCAAATTATTCTCTCAGACATATTCTGGGTTTTAAGATGTTCTCTGTTTTTGTGTAAATTGTGGTTAAAAGAACATGATCCAGACTCATGAGGTTTACCGCAAGGGCTCAGTCACCTTGCCCAGAGAGCTACAGAGACTAAACTCCCTTCAAACTCTGAGCCATGATGTATAATCAGCAGGCCATCACTGCCCACTGAGCAGCTACACACCTGACTCTGATTCTTCTCTCAGAAGTGCCACTGCCATCTGTCATAACTGACCGGATTTGAGCTTTCATCACAAAGTCTAAAGCTAAAATGACATTTGAACGTAGCTAACTGTGACGTTAACAACTCATTGCCATTGAAAAACTTTTCTGGACTGTGGTGGGTTGATTCATGTCACACTAAATGCTGTTTACAGACACACAGGTCTTGTTTAATGTATGGAGCAGCAGTTTAGATGTTTTGTACATGGGACATATCGGTTTATAACACCTGAAATCATTTTTACTCTGAAATGTGACCGATATTATTTCTTGCTGATCAATAGTTTTAAAGATAAGTAGTGTATAGGTTTTCCCAAGCGAAGCAGCCCCAGCGTGAGCATTCTGTGTTGCTGCAAGCTAGTTATTAGCACCGCCCGGTATCATTTTATGGCATA